TTTTTTTTTGAGCAATTGGAAAAAAATCCAGACATAGTGGTAAAAAAATTCTCGTTTTTATTGACAATTTTCATGTAAAACAAAGTCAAACGAATGATATTCGATATGGTAAATTTAATTTTTTTTTCCAGAATTTTTTTTTTTTTTACTTTTTGGGAATGAAAACAAATTTTATAACCAATTATGAAAAAAAATTATCACTTTAATGAACAATTTTAATGCAAAGGAAGACCAAACGAACACAAAATTTAAAAATTTCCTATCAATCAAACACACTTAATTAACAATTCCCTGTAAAACAATTTCTATGCAATTACTTTTCCTGGAATTCATTTTCTTTCCACCAATTTTCCACCATTGCAATCAAACGGACCCTAAGAATTGTAATAAATAGTTCTCTAGATGTACCCTAACCCGTATCTTAATCAAAGTCACCAGAGTTAAAAGGATTTATGAACAACTGAGTTTTAATATTGCCGAATATGGACAAAAGAAGTTTTTTCGGTATTATGATTCACCAGAAAATTGTGGCATCATGTGTCTAGGGAGCAGTAAAATAAAGAATCTGAAATAAAAGACAGGAAAGAACGACGAAAAATAGACACGTTGACACAATTCTTGGAAAAAGTTAATGAAAATTTGAAGCACATGCTAACAAACCTGTTTGCAACGCTTTCCCTCATGGCCTAAATCTCCACAATTGTAGCATGGTTTTCTCTTTTTCTTCAGTTTGCATTTCCCTTTATGACTATCTCTGCTACATTTGTAGCATGCCTCCCAATCTGCGGACTCAGAGTATCGTGGAGCTCGCTGGATCGTTAGTCAATCAAGTTAATAAAGCAAAAATAAGAACATACATGAACACACTTAAAGAAATCAAAGTCGATATATTTTGAGATAAATTGCCGAATTCCATTCAAAAGAAGCTTCTGAAGCACCATGTTTTCATTTCTGAAATCAGGTTCTCCTTCCACCATTAACCTTGTTTCCACACCTATACTTACTTCTTCCGGCTTATCTTCCTCTTTATCATCAATCTAAATCAAGTAATTACACGGCATCAATACGATATTTTCTCCAAAATCAATGCTTTTTCTAAACTTAATCAGAATGTATATCATGCACAACAAAAGCAACACTCAACACAACACCGCATTCTTGTCCTACCCATCTGATACATTCTCCTAAATGGCAGCATATATCTATTTCTGCATAATGCTTTTGGATATGATATATAGAATGGGAAAAAAATAAGATTTAATCAAGTGAACTATACATTTCAAGAAACTAGTGATCCCAATCCAATTCAAAAAGTACTGGAACTCATTTTAAGCTTACAATGGACTCTAGTTCAACCACTTCATTTTCTGATAGCACTGCTGGTTTATTCTCCTTTGAGACATGAAAAACAGATGAAATCTTCGACAGAAAAAAAAAAAAAAGAGCGGAAATGAAAAAGGCATAAACAACCATGTCATCTGCTTGAAATAATTTCTGGAAGAAAAACTTCGAACGAGTGGATACATAGACATTTAATAAACTTACCACATCAGATATCGACAGTGTCTGCTTCTTCATCTCCCTCATTTCTGCCTGATCATCATTTGTATCCTTGAAGAACTGCTCCGCTGATTCAATCCCAATGCCATTCTTGTTTGCACCATTCAATGCTTCATCTTCCGAGCAGCTATCTTCTACAACTACTTCCTTTTTCCCCTTTTCGTCCATTTCCCCTCTTCCCTCAGATAGTTCTGTGGACTGAAACTGAAACAGAGAGTTTGAGTATGCGGCTTGCATACGGATGCACGCCTCAGATAGCATTTATTTTGTGTAAATCTTGGTGAGAAAAATCCAAGAAGATTCCAGGTGGCAAAAAAGTTCGTTTCATTCTAACAACAAAAATCACTGACGGAACCCACTGAATTTGTTGATACCAGATTACTGAATTCATCCACATTTACATATTTCTGGAAAGTATCATTTCAGGAAAATGGGATTTTTGAAAATTGAAGGTATGAACTGGTATTGGAAATGATGAATTCTTTCTAAGGGCCATTCTCTTTGATTTGCGTATTGCTATGATCGGAGAAGTGAAGAAGAATTAAGTACTATTTCTGAATTTTGCCTTTTGTACTTGAAAATTTTGAATTTTCTTTGGATTCTTCCTTTTAACGGCTGGCCATTCCCAGTCAGCTGAGTTCACCCCCACGGAAAAGGCAAACTGCCAAACTCCCCTCTCGCATCCCACGCCCCGCCTGAAATAATTTGGAGAAAATTTGCACTATGGTCTCTAATCTATTGTCTGTACCAGCTTGATCCCCCAGTTTTAATAATGAGATCAACTTAGCCTTCTCATATTTTATTATACTTGTGCAATCTATCGGTAAACCTTCTCTTACATTGTCAAGTGACTCTCTAGTGTCCAAATTTATCAAATTAGGTTTTCATTTTTTTCAACTTAAACGGTCATCTAGAAAAATTTTAAGGAGGGCAGATTTCTTCACTCATGACCCACTCCCGTATTGCCCTACATCTTCACCTCGATTAGCAAATAGAACTGAGACGAGAAACATAGTGTTAGGGTTGGAAGTCAAGTGGTTCAGTTGGCATTTCAAGAACTAGATCAACCATTAAATTTCGAGTATTTTGTAAATGGAACCATTTAGTTCCATACAGTTTTTCGAATCGAACTGGAACTGACAGTAATTTCAATTCAATTCCAGTTAAAATGCACACATCTATATGGTCTCTTGATTGAACTCTCTGACTCACTTCGAATCTTTTTATTTTATTGTATTGTATTTTGTTTTATATTTAACAATAAATAAATAAAATATTAAACAAAAAATAATTAGTTAAATAGGGTGGTAAATAAATTTTATTTTCTAACCCTCTCAAAAATCTTTGACAGGTGAAAACGGTAATTACCTTTTTCGTTCGGTTGTTATCCCTAAATTCAAGTAAGACATGAATCCATTACCTTCTTCATTCATGTGTTGAACCTTGGGACCCATTGGCAGGTCAATCGCCACACCAGATCATAGATCCGACATTACACGAATTCAGAGAGTTTCATCCAATTTGTATTAATGTGTGTTCTAGGTTTGAATATGTTGGGGTATTGCCAAAAAAATAAAAAATAATTGAGTTATTATTCCGAGCTATTATTCGCGAGCCTCTTCACTTGGAGGCTTCACAATGAGAATGGGGGCAGTCGACGTGATGAACACAATAATTGCTAACACTTCCAAGCAAAGCCCCGTGACACGAAATTTGTTACATGATTAATGCTCAAGAACCAAAGATTGACGATAACCAAGGTTTACATGTACAATTTCATAAGCAAAATAAGTGTATTTAGACATAACATTGTTCCAAAATGGACATCTATTCTTAAGAAACCTCTTCCATGGCTGTTTAATTAGCCATCTCATCGTCGATCAAGCTTCTAAACTTAGTCCATGTTTGGCTCCCATTTTCTAATATTCATTTTTTTCAAGCTCATTTTCAATCACAAGTTTCATGGAACCCACAACTTTTATCTAACTTTTCGACCACATATTTTTTCAACTTTTAAGAGCATCTACTAAATACTAAAAAATAGATATTTAGCTAAATCAACCAGGAGCTTAATGGTAACTCAGACTCTTATAGAGAAAAAGAATTAATTTAGAATATTTGTCTGGATCATGATGAGAGGGTTCATATTACCATTTGATCGTGACAAGCCCACGGCTACCAACAACTACAAGATTAACATGTAATTCTTCTGCAGCTTGACAAATCCTAGCGTTTGGATCTCCTTCAAGAATTAAGAGTTTGTTCTCTTTACCATTTTCAAGCCGTTTTTTATTTTTGATTTTTCAAAACAGTGAAAACGTGTTCTCTTTCCTATTTTCGAAAACGCGTTTTTGAAAATAAGTTAAAAATTTACAAAGAAAACACAAAACGGCAAATCATTTTAGGCATTTTTAGTTATAATCAAGGCAAAATTTTCAAAACGCGTTTTGGGTAATTTCAAAATGCCAAAAAGAACACATTTTCAACAATTTCAAAATGAACACTCAAAACACAAAAATGAAATACAAAGAAAACAGCCCTTAAACTTTCTGCTTTGATCTGAATGAAATTTTAAATTCATAAACCAATGAATACAATGTAATACCATCATAGATATCATGCAAGACTAAGATAACATAATGAAATCCGAAATTTAGGAGCAAGGAATTAAATAGTCTAACAAGGTCGAGATTTTAGAATGCGTTTGGAGCGCCGAATTAAACCATAAGAAATTTAATATAAATTATAGTGGTTATTACTAGGAAAATGATCTTTTTCTTATTCTGTCTAAATCCACCTTCAACCTCCACATAATGTTATATAGTTATTGCAAATGACTATTTTTGAAGGAAAATTAAAGAACACTATCCACCTTATTCTACCTTCACACCATATACCTAGTGCTATCAAGTATAAACTTATAATTCATAAGACATTCTATTAATTAGGTGTGCCAAACATAGCATTAAGGTTTTCAAAAAGAGCAGCAGAGAGGGAAAAAAGGAAAAGAAAAATATTAATCATTTGAAGTGAGACCGAGCTCAATAATTTTCATTTAATGGGATCGTCACAAATCGAGCTAGCAGTCCACATTGGTTACTAGATAGCGAAAATTCAACATAATTAGTTTAGATCAATCCATAATAATAAGGACTTTGCTACAAGTACAGGGGTGGGTTCACATGGAGGGGGTGGGTAATTTTACAGGCACTCACATGCAAGGAGGGGGGTGGGTTTTTTTTTTTTTAGTTATCTTAATTCAATTCATAATTCTAAGAAAATAAATCGACATTTTTTTCTTCGCACATATGCATTGCACGAGAGAGTATATTAGCAGCATTTTGTGCTTTGGCTTGCTTCGCAGCATCGAACACTTCAGGCGTTGCATAGGGTGCATCTGCTGAATTTTAGAAGAATCAAAAGTTTCAATAAAAATATTTCAGTACCCAAATATATTTAAATTTTGTCTTCTCGTATTATATAACCTAATAATTAAGTAATTCAAATCACTTTATTCTAAAAGAACTAACTTAGCAATGGAATAAACAAAATTTTAACTTTAGTTATATGGATTGTATCTCTTCCTTGCCATAGATGTTATTCGGTCCATTGCAATTAGTGTTTTTTGATAAAAATTTGCTAAAATTTTATGAACTTTTTATGTCTTCAAACTTTAGCCCCTGTTTGACTCTCTTTATTTTTCGTAATCATTTTCAACTACGCATTCACATAATTAAATATTTTAAATTCAAAAAAATTTCATACTTTTTAACCACATATTTTCCAAAAAATACACAATTTTTCCTCAATTTCTTTTTATAATGGTCATCAAATAGGGGGCTTAATTTTAACCACAACTTTTATCAACCTCCCAACCATATATCTCATCAAAAGTTTCTCCAAAGAATTTCTTAGTAACCCGTCAAACTTTAATTTAACCCAGAACTTTTATCAACTTTCCAACTATATATCTCGTCAGCGTTTATCAAAAGTTTCTTCAAAGAATTTCTTAGTAGCCCGTTCAAGATTAATACCAATATACAAAATTATGCATATATTTGGTTCTAATTTTCAAAACTCATTTTCAATCAGGACACACAACTTTTATCAATTTATCAAACCTCAAGTTTCATCAACTTTTTCTAAAGATTTTAATTTTTATTCAAACCAATTAGGGGCGGTATGTATCACTGACACTGAGTGCTTGCTTGGTCAGCTTAAAGACTCCATTTTTAAGAAAGTAGATAAAGTAGTATCCAAATAATTGCTAAGAACCCAAGTTTGTTTATTTTGAACAACAAAAAGTAGTGTGTCCCAATACTTATAAGCACGCCCAAACATGTGTCCAGCAGGGTAAATAAAGAGTTGAAAGATTGGCTGAACATGAACCAAAGTGATCGTGTTGGGTTCCTGATCGGGCTGAATAGGATAACAAAAAAGCTGGTCTAGTGTCCACTTAAGTGCATAGAAACTCCCATCACTCTCATCCATAGCCACCAACACCTTCATCTTCTTTTTATCCTCCCCCGCCGCGGTCGACGGCTGACGCGAAGCCCCCTCTGCTTCTGTACTACTCGTCTCAGCTCATGTTGTTTCCATCTCTCTCTCCACTTCACAGAAAGCAAACTTCTGCCAATTTTTGAAAAAAATTGAAATATACTTACTTAAAATCTATATAATTTGGTGTAATCCTGACAGGTTTTGTCCACGCATAAAACACATTCATTTGGCCATGCAGAGGAGGACAGCATTAGCAACTAGCAAGCCACGTTGAACCCCATACTCCCACCCCACTATCCTCTAAGTTTTAGCCCATGGTGATGAATGGTTGAAATTTTTTTACAATGACCAATAAATATGACCGCAAGACGTGGATGAATATTTAGCCTTTTGTAGTTAAAAATGTTGGAAATGGTTTAAAGAAATAAAAAAATTGGTTAGGTCTAATTTTGAAGAACTTTGAGTAGACTTGATCGGATGGTCAAATTACATATGCAAATAGACCAACTTGTTCTACTCGTCGAGTAGATCGTCATAATATATTTGGAATTCCGAAACCAATTCCGAATGAATGAGAAATTGTGGTCGAAAGTTGGAAGGAAAATAGAGGTAAAATTGGTTGGAAAAGTGACTATCTTCGTCGCTCAATTATCGCTCGAGTATCGCTCAAGCAAGGAAGTTGTCGTTCGAGCGACAGTTGTTCTGTTTTTATTGCTCGAGTGAGAAGTCAGCGACAACAAGAGTTGTTCGGAAGGTTGCGA